ATTGTATCATTTTACTCATTTATAATCTCTCGCATTTGCATATTGAACAGGTCACCAAGGTGATTGTGCCGTTTGCGAAACGTGCCAAGGTGATTGACATGAAGAATCTCAAGCGCAGCTGCAACTCGCTGATACAAAAACAATTACTGAGCACTGCCGAAATGGAGGAGGAAGTGATACCCGCACATCCGAAAGGAAAAGAGGAGCACTATGCCAAGGGCATGGCCACGTTTAAGGAGATCTACGAAAAGCTACCCGCTATGCTCACCACCAAAATGTCGGATTCGCTGTCGCCCTCGGTGGCTCTGTATGCGGTGCTACACTTGGCCAACGATATGAGATTACGGCTCATACCACAGGATGATTTTGAGGACTTTACAATTAGACAAATAACGGACTAACATACAATCCAGTTGGCCACCATTTTATATAGATATATACATACATTTACCTATACGTAAAGCAGTATTTAAAACAAAATAGTGATTTTAAATTTTGTCAATGTTAACTGCTTTTATTTCTCAATGTTTTTGTAGTGCAGCGTGTGCAAATAATCGATCGATAATATTGAAGAATCGTCATTAATTAAGATAAAATGAAACCTTACTTAAACCTTAAACCTTATATATGTATATAATGAGCATGGAACATTTATGGTAATAAAAGTAGTACGAGATTTAAGCGAAAATATACACACATGTATAAAATGAATGCATATGTACATATGTATAAACTAAATATATACACTGTTTATGTACGAATGGATGATAAAATGAATCTTTTAATTATAGAAATAATGATGTAGTTGTAATGTACGTAAGTTCCAAATGTTTAGTTGTCCGTGGAGATAATCCTAATTGGCATTGGCAGGAGGGAAGTTGCTCCAAATTTTCATATTTTTATTGCTTTGTTATTTTAAAATGTGTTTTCTCGTTTGTAAAAATGCCAGATTCGTAGCCAAAATATGAGATTTGTGGACGACAGTGTAATAATGAAGGCATGAATATTCAAATCCAATTACGGGGGAGTGAAATGAATTGCAGGAGCGTCGCTTGCTTGCATGCCACAAATGTTTTGGTTGAAGCTCCTGAATTAAGTCTTAGTCTGCGTAACTCAGCCGAGCAGTTGGGCACGATGGAGTTGCAACATTTTCTCAGCAGGCTGCTACAACAGATTTATGCAATCAACTAGAACTGGACGCATATGTTTTACATGAGCTATTACAAAATAGATACGCATACAAATATGGACTATGCAGATGATTGCATATATACATTCAACGATTATAATGTATATTTTATAATTAATAATATTTTTAAGGTATAAATTGTTAAAATGTATTGTTAATTTAAGTTCTGACTTGGCCTTTGGACGAGCTTTGTTGCTCTTTTGCTTTTGCTGTTGTTTCTGTATTATTTTCATCTGTAACTGACAACAGTTACAGCAGCTCAACTTTGGCGTTGTTGTTGCTTCAACAACTTAAGTGAACAGACGCTGGAAGCTGGTGACAAAACGGAAGCCAAGCATTGTTGCAAGTCGTTCCGTTTTGTTTAAGTTTCATGCTGCTGTTGTACCCTGTAAGTGGAGATGCAAAGGTGTTATATTAATATGGGCAGCATGATGATAATATACACTGTACCTTTCAGCTTACATCACAGTCATATACAGCTATGTTCACTTACAGGGTATGCCTAAGTCAAGCATTGTCTTATTGTCAACTGTGTTGTGCTGCTTGCCATTTGCATACGCAGGGCTGAGCGCGAATTTAGACGCGCCTTTCACACACTTTACTTTGCACAGTTGTTTATTGTTGCCCAATGTATGTATGTGTGTGTGTGAATGCTTGTGTTTATGTGCGCCTCTGTCTATCTGCCTAAGTATGTGTATGTGTATGACACATTTGTGCTGCTTGAATGTATGTGTTAAAAAGTTCGTTGTTTACTGAGCGCTTTTAGCAAGCAGCGCGATTCGCGAATATGTGCATGGGAACGCGTGTGAGTTTGTGTCTGTGTGTGTGCGTGTGCGTGTGAGTAATTGCATATTATTTGCATAAATATTTGCTAAGTACAAAGTACAAAACAACAACAGCAACAATGGCAAGTCACAGCGTGCGTGTGCGAGAGAGAGAGAGAGAGAGAGAGTAACATAACATTTAAATAGCTTCATCAAACTTTTGATATTAGCAGCAAAAAAGTTTTATTTAACACATTTCTGACCTCTCTCTCT